TAAATTAATAAAATACTAATCAAAATTAAATAATATCAAATGTAAGTCGTGTGTCATACCAAATAAATAAATAATAATAATATTTTTATGTGGGTAACCACATCCGGTTTGCTTTTATTCCGATCTCTCTGTTGGAACCACCAGAGCTCTCTTGGATAGCTGATCATCAAACCGCGGGGAAAATTGGTATTGTGCAGAAGTGAGTCCTTCATATACGATGGTACTGCGTCTAACTGTATTTTATTAGCGGCGTAATGGGGCCTGCGAGCTACTGTAGCTGCAGAAAACAGGGAGGTACTCCGGGTCTTGAATCTTCACTTCAGCTATCCTGCAAAGCCCAGAGGTTGGTTTTCGGGGTAGGAACTCCGATACTTAAGTCAGCAATAATCAGAGCTACCAACTATGAAATGAGAATGAAAGCTAGGTTAGAGGTCGGTTTCCAATACCTTTCTGAGGTAGACCCTGATGGGTATTTATAGGCCTTAAGGGGGATGTCCACGTGTTGATCTTTCCAAGAAACCCGGGCGACACGTGTCAAACATCGCAAGAGCTTCACATGAGGGGTTTGCATGTGTATGGAACTACTGTGGAGCGGGAGCAGAGGGGACGAGCTCGAGCCTGACCGAGCTCGTCGTCCTTCAATCGAATCGAGGTAACTAGATGTCGGGAGCCACTCCGGATGTCCGAGGTTACGCATCTTGGGCAACTATGAAGTACACGACTTCAGACTAGCAGCACTCCATCTCATGACCTCTGACTACCTACGTACCTTTGATACCTCATGACCTCTGTCAACCCACATACCTCTGATATCTCATGACCTCTGTCAACCACCACTACACTATTTCCCCCCATGAAGTCATTCACGTGTGAATGATGCAGGAGTTTGTGTTGGCATTAAGGCAACGAGTGGATATCATGGCATGGAGCTAGGGGATGTAGTTGAAGGCGAAGTGAGGGGTAGCATGACACGAGGTCATGGGGTATGACCAGAGCCGAAGTGAAAAGTACCATGACACGTGATCATGAGGTACGGCCGGAGTCGAAGTGAAAAGTAGCATGACACATGGTCATGAGGTACGGCCGAAGCCGAAGTGAAAAGTAGTATGAAACGTGGTCATGAGGTACGGCCAGAGCCGAAGTGAAAAGTAGCACGACACGTGAGCATGAGGTACGGCCAGAGCCGAAGGGAAAAGTAGTATGAGTGAGAATTGTTCGAGAAATATGTAATCGTGCAATTCCTTGTGAAGGAGGTTGAAGTGAACGGAGATAAAATAAAATAAAATAAAATGGGTTAATCAAGAATGACAGCTATGCTCACGTGTCGTGCTGTAATAAATGATGTCAGGACTAACTGCCGAATTTGAAAGGACGCGATCGTGGCCGTTGAACATGGGCGATCGTGGCTCTGAAAACGGGGGAAGGCTGTGTATAAATAGCCAACCTTAAGTTATTCATAATTTTACCTTACTGAATTCGTAGCGAAACCCTGCTGAAATCGCGAGAACACTTCGTCTTCCGCACTGATGGTTGTAGAGATCGTGGGATTTGCTAGCATTTGTACAAGTGTTAGACTTCGGCGCAGAAAACCAGGTAATTCTGAGCTCTACCTCGGTCCATAGTGATTTTGTTTTATTTTATTAGCCTAGATAAGGGGGGTTAGGCACTCAAGTAGGAAGGGGGGAAAGTAAAAAATAGAAATTGTAGGTGATTCTGATCACTGTTGGTGACATACTTCTTGTAGTGAAGACTATAATAGCAGAGATGTCGTCTGAAGGAACGCTAAGTGTTGGAGGAGGAGAGGGGATGAGGGACGTCAGTTCGAGCTCAAGCTCGAGCTCAAGTAGGGGGAGTGGGGGTAGGACCTCTGTTAGTGGGGGATACGGGGGTCAAGAGGGTGGCCTTGTTCCAACCAACATTTTAGAGGTTGGTGACAACCGGGAGAAGTGTTATGATGAGAGTGACGAGGTGGTGGGGGAGGTGGTAGGGTATAAATCATGTTGGAGGTGCAGGGGGGAGCTGGGGCACTTAGTGGAAAACTACAGTATCCCACCTTATGTGTTGATAAGGCCAGTAGGAGGTGAGGAGTGAGCGTGTTCGGCTCCAAAAGACCATTGGATGCCGCTATATGCGCACTACTTGGCAGCTGGACTCCGGTTCCCAATTCTGGAGTTGCTGGTAGCGCTGTTGAAGGAATATGGGTTGGGGTTAACGCAGCTCGTCCCCAATGGAGTTCGCAGGTCCATTGTCGGCGACAACTTGGTTTGGGATTCCATATCTGCATATGACCGAACTGAAAATGAAGTCTTCAATCGTTCTCGAGGTCAGGCTAGAAAGAGGTCAGGCCTCTACCCATTTGGTGAAGTAATCGACTGCCACGACTAAGTGTATTACGCCCCATGTTCCCTTCACAAAAGGACCTAGGAGGTCAATGCCCCATTGTGCAAAGGGCCACAGTGCCACTAAGGTGGTGAGTTCTTCTGCTAGTTGGTGGGTAAGATGTGTAAAGAACTGGCACTTCGGACATTTTTGGACATACTTTTTGGCATCCTCTTGCATGTTTGGCGAGTAGTATCCTTGCCGAAATACCTTGTGGGCCAGGGTCCGAGCTCCGACATGACTCCCACATACACCCTTATGCACCTCACGAAGTGCGTACTCGAGCTCATAAGGAGTTAAACAACGAAGAAGGGGGAGCGAGTATGACCTCTTATACAGGGTACCATCGATCAAGGTATACCGAGATGCTTTCCTTCGCAATCGCATCTCTTCTTATTTGTCAGCTAGGACGGTCCCATCCTGGAGATAAGCTTTAATGGGATCAGTCCAGCTGGGGGCTTGGGGATCGGTACTGACCTCCATCAGCTGCAACCTCTGGAAGCTTGGTTCATCTAGGGCTTCAACAAAAACTGACCTCTGTCCACTTGAGCAATCGGAAGCTAACTTTGATAGCGAGTCAGCATGGCCATTTTCAGACCTCTGACTACCTATGTACCTCTGATACCTCATGACCAGTGTCAACCCACATACCTCTGATATCTCATGACCTCTGTCAACCACCACTACAACTACTGTAGGCCTGTAGCCATACAAAGTCACGGGAATATGGAAAATTTAATTGCTTTCATCTTAGGCGGAAGGAATCTAACACATGGACATGGATACATGCAGGCGCATCCTTTTAATTTTAATCTAAAGCGGGCAGTGGTATCCACATGAAAAGCAAACAATGAGGCACAGTTACGATTACCATTAATTTTGTTTATTTTATTTAAATTATAAAATTTTTATTTTA